CAGTGCTACATAGTGGTATATATTTCATTCCATGGCTCCCTTGAAAATCTGTATTTTGGTGTTCATGTTGTTTCCACAAACACTCGTCTACGTTTGTAATTCGAGTGATGATGGTCAACTCTTGAGCATTTCTTTCCAAACGTCACCACTACTTTGCGCGGATATATTCTTAACTGTTATTATATAAAAGTGTGATTCTCTCGCAGACCTTCCTAGTATTTTGGTAAGATTCTCGGGCTTTTTGAAATTACGTCATATTGCTGTTGTATTCCAGCTCACAATCGCACATCAAATTATTCCCGTTGAGCGGTAACAAGACCAGCATCGCAAGGACTAACGGCTGTGGACAGTCGACTCAAGTCGCTGCGCTTCGACAGAAGCGAGAGTGACGGAGGGCTTAATTGCTAAAGATTTTGTGACATTCCCGCATAGGCTGGGTCGTCAAAGATTTTATTCAATCAATTTCCAGCTTTATTACATTCTTGTCATTTCCAACGCTAAGATGTATATGCGAAATATAACTATAAGTGTATCAAGATGAGAGTAAAACTCAAAATCTGAGGTGCCTCGGACTAGCGAATACCCTTCCGGAAGTTCAATAAGTTCTCCACTAAGTCAAAACTAAGTAAACTAGTGAATTCCTTCCCAGACTAGTAGAGTGATAAATCAGTGAAGTTTCAACTACAAAAATTAGGCGGTGAATGGGAGATAAAATAGTGATATCTTCTTTTCTCTATTTGAATGACTTGGATACATTCTAATCACATAACATATTTTGAGCCTTCTGTGAGTATCATAGGACACTTACACAGCGCTGGAAGGGTCTGTTTCGCCCATAAAAGGTCATCAATAGCACAGTGCCTTTCAGTTTAGCCGATCCGTTGCGGATACACCCCTCTAATCATAGGGGAATCTACGTTGAAGTAAATTACCGCACGCCAGGTGATAAATTCCCCGACTTTACAGTGACCGATTTGAGCTCGTGGCTCTCAAAATTTGCTATCAGATGATATATTCATTGATTTGAAGCATCTTATTTTACAATTTCGGTCGCATCTCACCTACTGTGGTTATACGAAATTGAAGATACACTATAGAACATATTGATTTCGGTTAGTTTATAGACTCATGGGGCAGGATACGTACAGAGACTACAGATGCCTTAAATTACATATATGGTCGGTCGCTGACTTGGTAACTTACTCGAAGTAAGAGAACTGAGTGGTGAGCAAAAATACGACCTCGTGTGGGAGTCGAACCCGCGTTCCATCCATACCAGAGACGGGTAGCCCACGTTTCCATTATGGATGGAACGCGAGCTGGACTCCCATCTGATACCGCATTTTTGGTCACCACTCGATGCTTTGATATACGTAAAACATCAAAACACTGCGAAAAAAGCAGTAAAAACGCTAGAAATCTGGAGTATTACTCAGACTAGTCAAATCCTCCAATTCTCCGGGGCAGCTAAGATGGTACCGAACTTCTTTGGGATGTAGAGCACTGAATTCAGATATCAGTAGGTCACTGCAACTCATTGTGTAGATCAGGTATGCATTCAGCTACTTCCGAGATACTCATCGAAGTTGAATGCATAAAGCATTTTTCAAGAATCGATCAACATAAAACACTTTGAATTTACAACAGGCGTAAAAATTCTTATTACGTTCGCTACATTTTATATTGCAACACTTTGAACTAGGGGCATAGTGAACGTCTTAAGCAAAAGCCTCTTCATCATTGGATATTGCATATCAAAATGGCAAAATTTTATGAAACGTTATCTGACTTGGAGCAGGAGATCACTTCCACAGCATGCCATGGTGGCCGTTTCGTGCAGTACGCTTACGATACCCGTTAATCTTCAGCATAAGCTGATGTCAGCTTCCCTCTTGTCCTCGCACGAAGACCTCATAAAATCTATTATTTTTTATATCTTCCGAGACAAAAGACAGGTAAACCTACATGCAAAAATCAAATAAGGAAACGTTTTTATTCATAAAGAGAGTACTCTGTCATAGAGCCTACATTGATGTTTTACTACACATTCATGTGTTCGCAAAGTGACAACTCAAACATGATTATTTTACACTGATTAGTCATTCTACGGCTTCGATAACGCACGAAAAATTAGTTAACACGATTTTTCCATAAACTCGTTCGAGAACTTAACTTTAGTCCGCGAAAGGCCAGAAAAATGAACAACTGTTCATTTAAATTATTAGATAGCCATCTCCATGAGCAGTTTTGGCAGCAGCCTTGCTATTCGTTTCGTCGTCTCAATGTCATCATCACTGAAAGGGATCGAATTCACCACTGACTCCACAGTGGCCTGAGAATATGTTTGAGTGTGAATATCTTCACAGTAATGAATAGTGTTTTGAAGCAAGCAGCACAGGCAGCCTTCGATCTATGTGCTTCGAAAAGGAGTTATCAGCCCTGTTATGAGAAATCCTCAATAACGGCCTCGCTATGTTTCGAGTTATAAATCGACATAATGAGAACGACGTACAGGATATTTCCTTTTTTTTTATTTTTGAACATGGACACGTTATTAAGATGTGCATGACTAGAACATCTGCATCAAGTCTCTTTATTACATCACATGAAGATCTAAAAGACCTAATCGTATTCATAAGCTTTTCGTCAAAGGACTTTAGAGTTGCCGTGTATTAGACACCGTTCATCATTCACAAAGCTGGATCGCATCATCACCACAAAAAGTGGTTACTTAATCAAATGGATAGTGTTCTATATAAAACTGCTCTACTCGCGATCCTAATGACTAATATCTAGGTTAGTGAGTCTAATTATGAGATTAGAAACACTATGTACCACGATACCGACTCTATCACAAAAAGTCTCCAATTCACTGCAATCTTAAGTGGTCTACGATCATGTTTTGAAAATTCTCTTGCTAGGGCAAAAACCATTACGAATAAACAAGACAATATTTCATTGCGGTAACCGTGATATTCGTTGGTAACTCACATCGCTTTGGTATTTTTTGACGTAAAACCACGGGTTTTGCCGTGCTCTAAGAATCATGGATTTATACCTTACATGGTTCTCAAGTAGAGAACTCATTACCTTGCGTGGTCGTAGTATGAAGACAAGATTTTATGGTAAGTTCAAGATAGCTCTTGGATAGATACCGTTATTAACAACATCGACAGAGAATACGGCCAGCTCATCCAACATCTTCACGTTAACGCTACTAAAACTCGAGAATTCGAAAGTCACCAACAATCGTTTGTTTATAGAAACACTCGCGTTGGAACTATGACTACAGTCATCTTCTTTCTATGATTACGAAGTTTTCGGTGGACTTCATAAATGCTCTTCCAGCTCCTGCAACTGCGGCTATGACTACCTCTTTTTCCTCTTCAAGACCTTCTCCTACCACCTCTCTGCAACGTTCAGCAAGTTCGTAAGTCAGTTGTTAGTTGCCAGCGGATTGTGTAAATCTACGTTACTGTCTCAGCTTCCACAGTTACATTTTCCAAAAGATGACAGAAAAAGTAATTCACGATCGCTACTTAGATCTCTTCAATAGTCACGCTCTCTTGCGGCCACATGATTTCAAAAGGTAGATTTGCCGTTTTTCCTCCTTCCAGGAATCCGACATTCTATTTCGCCGGTGAATTATCGAACAACACCTACATCAGACAGGACAAGATCTGAACACCTAAAGAAGCCTTCCCACCAGCTCTCATCAACATTCTGCCCCGAACCTTCACTAGCTACCTATCAGAATGTCGGAAATTAAGGTTCTCAGTCAATCAAACATAACAGACTGTGCTTTTGTTCGAAAAGTGAGACCTCTACAACGCTGACAATAAGTGCGCAGCCTGTTTGCTGGCTGTAGTCTATAAAGTATCGCTCGGGTGATTACAAACAAACTGACAGAATACTGAATGAAGGACAGTCATGTGTGGAAGTAATCATTTCCAACAACACTTTTCACCCTATTCACAAGACAACAAGGCACATTGTGGTCTCACGAGAGAACGAAAAGACCGCTCTGTCTCACTTCTATCGATATGAGGAAGTTCTCTGACTAGGAACAGAAGAAGTCATAGAGGCTTCTAATAGCTAGGCATCTTCTAGTACAAAATAATTCTCAGTGAGCAGTATAACTTTACAATCAAAATATCACCATTCTATAACGAAACCTTTATCTACGTAGGAAGAGAAGTTCGACGTATTAAACGGTTTCGACAGAGCCTGTGGAAAGACTAGACGCCGATTGAGTCTTGAGAACACGATGTTCATGAAGAACGGATGGGTTTCTAATGCTCCTTCCACGTTCCATGAAATGGTTATTTTTGAATGCTCTAGCAGCGTCTATTCAATGCGAAAAACAATATGATGAACGATCTATCTCCAGAGTTGAGCAGGAGAATGGGAGCGGCTTGAGGAGCGTTAAAAGCATTGATGATGTAGTGAGGAGAAAAAAGGACACACGAATTCATGTACACTTTTCGACTCAACGATTATTCCTATCTCAGCCTATGCATTAGAACATGGTCGCTACTCAAGCAGGATAAAAGGAAACTTGGCATTATTCGGAGTGCAGTCGAGAGTCTATGCTAGGAGTATCTCGTATTTCCCAAAAAAAAAAGAATTCAAAGAATCAACCAGCATCAACTGCCGCGAGCAAGCACGTCGTCCAATACGCCAATCTATCGAAGGTAAACTAAGATGAACATTTACTAGGTTACAACGATATTATATAACCGAAAATCACCACCGGATTCATTAAGATGTTAGGAGGCGCACCGAAAGAAGGCCACCAAAACGATGGTTTGGTCCAGGAAAAGTCCACAAGCGAATTATGATAATCAAGAAGTCTCTGAAGCGGCGAGGGACCCACTAGGGTACTCTTGCAGGCGATAGAAAAAATGGAAGTTCCCCAAATTTCCGTGTGTTCAATGCATTTTTCGCAGTGCTATGATGTTCCATACATACCTAAGACAATTGAGCTGTGAGCAAAAATCAACCTCAGTCGGGGATCGAACCCGCTATTGACCCATACAGTGGACGCGTGCTACCACTACACCATTGAGGTACATTCGCACGACCACTCATTCTTCAGCATCACTACGTTTGCTGTCAGCCTCCAACTTTAACACATTTGGTCGTTTATGCGATTTCGCTTTATAACCAGGTTGCAACATCACAGCACTGCGAAAAATGCAGTAAAAACACTTGTAGTTCCGAGTATTATCTTTCAAAATGGCTGTCAGCTCAATTGGCTCTATGAAGCAAAATCGCATACTCGACCAAACCTGTTAAAGGTTGGTGGCTGACAGCTAACATAGAGATGTTGAAGAACGAGTGGTGGTGCGAATGTATCCCGGTGCTGTAGTGGTAGCACGCGTTCCCGTACAGATCAAGCTCGGGTTCGACTCCCAGCTGAAGTCGGTTTTTGCTCACAACTTAAATCTCTTACTGGAAATTTTATTGGTGCTCACTCGAGCCACCTGGCGATCAACGGGCCGTCAGATGATACATTTGATTGGTCCTGGTAAACGATATCTAAGTTTGATAAGATTAATGACAAGGTTAGAAGCACTAACTACCAATATACGGATTCTGCTATAGAAGGGCTCCGCTCCAAGTTTGAGTGATCCACAGCCTTCGTTTCAGAACTCAGAACTTTTGGTGGGAAAAAATCATTACCGAATGGGCCAGACTAGATAGCATTAGATTAAAGTGGTTATGATATTCGCCGGTATCTCACACTGATTCAGAGTTTTTTCAACAAAACTTCGTATAGTGCTTTACCTGCTTTGCAATAAATACATATATATATATATATCTTTCTGGATTCTAAAATGGAAAACTCCTCCTTATCTAGCGTGGGTCGTTGGATGAAGATGGTTTCTCATGTTGCGTTGAAGTGAGCATCGCAGCTACGATTGTGCAGTTAATAAGGTAGACTGCGTAAGGAATATAGTTTATTTGCAAAAATCTGCCAAAATCTTAGCTTGAAATGTCCAAAAGTCATCATTACTTTCACATTCAAGGTTTGAACATAAAAAAGACATTTTTATTACAGAAAAAACTAATATATTCAATAAGCTCATGCAGACTGGACGCAATAATGGAGTGCCTCTTATGCAGCTGCAAACTCGTGATTGTTTCCCGACTTCTTTGTATTTTTGGGTGGCGCAGGATCATATTCTGTGCTCTTCTTCACTAGGGATATCAGGGCTGGCACCACCTTGAATAAAATCCGTTTGAGAGCACGACAGAAAATATAAACTAGTTATATCTAGCCGGAAAAACGCATTGCTAGATATGTAACTCCTTCTATAACGAACACTTTGTGATCATGTTTAATTAAATCGACTAATTATGGGATACGGGGTAGCACATTGGTTAGTGATGCGGTGTTTAAAAAAGCAAGGCGATAAGCGAAGGAGTGATTGAACGTTTCCTCGACACGCTCTTATAGTGATGAAGTGGCTTCGCCCTTGCTCGATTACTTCGAGATTGTGTGGATAATCGTCTCGCTCACTATTTTCCGGCATTTGTAGAAAAAAAATATTCAAATAGCATAAAAGAATGCACGAAGTGCTGGGTCTCACAAAGTATAGGTGATAGCAAGTCGTCTTGAGAAAAGCTGACTGGTCTTTCGAATATTTACTGCATTATCACGGCTGAGAGGTGCTCCTATCGTTGCTCAATGTTCAGTAGGTAGTTGATAGTTGCTCAGTAGAGATAGAGAGGGAAATAGTTGATGATTATGCTGAGGGCAGCACTATCGCCAGAGACAAGTCATTGGTTAATGAGTTATTAGTTGTGAAATTTGTACCTGCCAGTCATATGGTCCTCTTAGATTAACGCATTGATGAGTAGCGCTGATGTAAATCATCTTCCTGATGAAACGGTATTGTGGCCTCTCCTCGAACCTTCAAACATGGGAAAGACTTTTGCATCGTTCAGATATATGCTACAGTAAAATCGCATCAGGATCGTGTTTGTCATTGAGCAAGACTTTTTCCTATCTCTTGACGTATTAAATTTGGTACTGCCCGCTTCTTAGAATAAAGCTCAAGCTCCGTATAACTCTTCTAAGAATCGGCAACTAACGTTTTGGCAAATTCGACTTTTTCTAGAGCCTAAATGTAGTGATATATAACATACCATTTCTAGATAATCGGTATAAAATTTATATACACAGTGGAGATCTAGTGCAAGAAGTATTCGGATGGCTAACTCCTATGTAGAACCCTATTGCCAAGCTATCTACATGATAGCGAACACCGTTCCGTTGTCGCACATTGTGAAAAATGACAACTAGTCGGAGATGAGGGACCATTTCATTTTTTATGTTCAGGACCACTTTTTTTCTAATCATTTCTTAACTCTTGAAGTTTATCCGAAAATCTCAAAGTTTTCCATGTCTAGTGTTTGATCCTTACCTCAGGATTCTTACTTTCACTTCATGTCCTGACCTTCGTGTCTTTCTAATCTATACACACCTGAAGCATGCTTGTTCGAAAAGTGCTTCCAACTTTCCAACTACGTATTCTTTTATGCGAACACAAAAAGATCTTCCCGTTTCACTATTATATCCGCTACCACATGTCTGACAACAAATCTGGTATATTTTACTTGCTTGAACTCATGCAGTATAACTGTCTAATATCACGGCATACTGTGCAATCCTCTGTCATATATGGTATTAAAGGCGGTTCCGATCTAATCAAAAACATAATGTGTTGGGTGAAATTTCTATAATCCTTACAAAGCTTCTCAGAGCATTGCTTTTCAGACATCTTCTATTTGCGGCGCAAACTTTGTTTATTGCGACAGATATTTCATAAGGTAATATCCATCTAGTTTGGAACATCATTAATGCTTCGATATGACTCTAATCTCTTCTTTTTGATTGACATCTGTGGCGGTTTTTCCACAATCATTTGAAATACTAGTAATCGTGCAGAGTGTAGTGATTGCTTTCTCTCATATCTCTTATGAGAATGCTTGTAGCTATATGTTTCGGATGTTTTTATCTGTAAAGGGTGAGAAAAAGTTAATCCACTAACATTTTTTGATGCTTGACCTTCGATAAAATTTCTTAACGGAGCCACTTACAGAAAGGTGTACGTGAGCGTTTAAAAATGAAGGCAAGCTCTCCAATTCTAACTAGGTTTTCCTTGTGTAAGCTTATTGTACTCTGACTGCTCACTTGAAAGTTCAAGACATTTGTCAATCTACTCCTGTGTAGAGCAGGTGACAAAACAATCATCTATGCATCGTCAATACAGTAATGGATCCACGAGTAACAACTGGGGTATCCGCATTAGACATGAAAGCAATGGCAAGGCTTAGTGCTAATCGTTGTTCTATTGCCAACCTTCTGATCTGAGCAAGACATGTTCCTGACCACCTAAAGATTGGACAGCTCAGACAATTGCTCAAAAGAGTCATAAGCTGTTGAATAGATACGACACAAGTATTGATTGCCTTTTTATTTGCTACCAGCAGTTTTTGGATCACTTGTACTGCGGCGTTATTCGAAACGTTCGTCTGGAAGGCAGTAACTCGTACATCTTGCTCTACACAAGTGCGGCCCGGCTGAGCCCGATTTAGGTGCTTTAGGAAGATTTTAATCTCTAGAGAGATGAGCTGTATACACTTTAACAATCGTGGCAATATGAGTCGCAAAATTCGTGCTATTCCGTCCGTTGGTCCACCTACAAAACTGGTGGTTGATAAATCAAATAGATAGTGAGTCGCAACGGCAGAGCTGGATTACAGTAATCATTTGTCCACATTCAGAAATGTCTTACCAAATTCCCATTCTATACACACTTACTATAGCACACAAACTCACCTATAATGATAATATTATGTCTACAGATCCCTCAAATTTCAAAGTTAGACCGATCATCAGCTGTGTGGTGAGACTGAAGGTCAGCATAACGTGGCTTTTGGGTCTCATGTTATCGCAATTTTAAAGCTTATATTAGCCAATTGCTACAACACCAAAAGTCTCCTAAAGCAGCTAAATCGTTTACAGCCAAAATAAATGTATGCAAAGGAGTCATTCGATGTTACCACGCTCTAACAAACGTTTCAACTGACTCTGCAGTACAGACCGGCCACGAACTACTGACAGAAAGTGAAAAGAAAATAAATATATATGGCTTGTTGATTTAACAGCCTACGCATCTTTTGAGAAAATATCTGAGTCGATCAACTCCTAGGTGATCAGGAACATATTCAGAGTAGATCAAAGGGCTGAAAGGGACAACGAGTGACACTAAGCCTCATTGCCTTCATGTCTAAGGTGGGTGCTACAAATACCGTTTTGGTCTCTCTCTCTCTCTCTCTCTCTATATATATATATATATATATATATATATATATATATATATATAAAGGATAAAAAGATAAAGCTCTTGGCGTTGATCAATCCCTGAGGGATGCGCCATGCATTCGACTTCAATTTCTAGCTCCGTTTGAGGTGATTGAATGCACATCTGACCTTTACAATGACTCGCGGTGGCCTCCCGCTGAACCGAGTCCGTGCTGCTTACCCTCCCAGACAAGTCTGAGACATGTCTGGTACCAATTTACCGACCCCGGAGGGATGGATGGCTTGGTGAGCCATGGACGCGAGATCGAACCAGTGACCTCGTGTGCGACGCAGGGCACCTCTAACCACTGCGCCACGTGCGCTCTTATATATATATATATATATATATATATATATATACCATAATCGTTGATGATAGACTATAATCGGAAGGCGCAACATCTGGACTGTGAGCTCAGCGCGGCAAGATCTTGACTTCCTTCATTTCATCAAACTTTTCCTTAGTCTTCTTTGAAGTGTGGGGTTTGGCTTTGTGTTGCTGTAGCAGCGGGCGCTTTTGACAAATCAATGTTGGGTACTTTTCCTTCAGCGCGGACTTTTCCTTTTAGTGGAGATATCACAGAGATATCACCATGAATTTACAAAAACTGATACTGTGTGAAGCACATATAGAATTTGAATCTTCACGGGCACTAACGAACTTTTTCCTCAACCTAATATGTCGTATAGGTAGA